TTTAATCAGCCAAAGTTGACCTGAGATGGATTTGGCTAATTTTCTTATTTCATGCGACTAACTCAATTTGTGTTTGTTACCTTGATTTGTATCTTCTTAAGCGATTTGTATGATTTGAACATCGGTTGACCACTGAAGCCTTAATCAATAAGTAAGAAGATACTTCGTAGTGGCAAAGTGGTCAACATTCGGTATATGGTTAACTATTTGTTTCCTTCTTTCAGATCGTTAATATTCAGCCCAAGTTGTAACTTAAAGTATTCTACATACTTTACTATACTATTGAAGTCGTGATATTAATAAAAAATGTGGTATTGTTATAGTATTTCCGTAAGTCATTTAATGTAATAGAAATAAGCATACTACAACCAGGAAGTTCAAAATGTTTTTTTCAAATATGAGCGCGTAGGTAGAAAACGTTCATTTTGCTTAATTCTGGTAATAAGAATAAGGCATTCGTCGACAAATAATCCGGAATTTGACGTCAAAAACATTTGCTCTACTTCCATCGACAGTATGACATAACACCAACTTACTGAGTATCAATCAATTTGTTGCAAGATTTCTGATGTGACTCTATCTTATCAAATCTGTTTTAAATACACGTACTTGTATACTAGACATAGTTGAAGTAAAATGTTTGCTTTTAAAACACTTAATAATCTATAAAGTGGAAGGACACATTTCGTTATGTACTCATTCAAGTGGAACGCCATTTAAACCATTTCAAACGTCTTTAAATGACAGAAAAATATACAAATGATAAATTTATATTCATGTCATAGATAGCTCACAATTTAGATATTTAAATTTCATTAAAATTATTCACGAAAACATATTATTACAAAGAAAAGTTTTATAAATGGAGAAAATTTGCTGCTTTTGAATAGTTCTTGATTTTTTATATCTTCTATATATAAGATGCATAATGACAGACTTTAAAAACGCAACACACATAATACGCCTATTTCCAGAATAAGAAATAAACTTCAAGAACTTTCAAAGCGGTTTGTGTTTGTACCGGCCGTCAAAGCAGCCACCAAAGTTGTGGTGGTATGCCGTAAATACTTTACGGACGTTCTTAAGAATGAAATTTTGAATTTTTCTACATTCAAGTCCGTGCGGTCACAGAGAGTCATATAGTTAACAAACATATTATAACCACATCACAGCTTAAGGCTTCCTCTGATCACTTGGAGGTCCCTACTATGTATTGGTTACCTAAACTACACAAAAAACCAGTAAAATATCGTTTCATCTCGGCCTCTAGTAAGTGTTCTACAACTAATCTTTCAGTGCTTGTAACAAGTTCCTTAACTACATTTCGCCCTTTTAATAGCAGACTTGTTTTTGTACTGTTATGAATCACAGTTTATGACCAAACTCGGTAAAAACCCGTCTAAATTGCATTTAATTGATAAATTCAACAACAATTACCGGTATCTTGATGATATTTTTCGTTAAATAATCAAGAATTTTCTAAATATACTGCCGAAATTTTCACAAAGGAACTTACTTTAAATAAACCAAGTTTAAACGGTGATAACTGTCCCTCTTAGATTTAGATATTTCGGTGTTACACGGGAAACTCAACACTACAATTTACGACAAAAGGGACGATTTTTCGTTCCCTATTGTCAATTTTCCCTTTTTGGATGGTGATGTTCCTTTAGCACCATCTTATGGTGTTTATATTTAACAACTCGTTCGCTATGCCCGTGTCTGTTGTGACGTTTCTGATTTTAACGAGCGTAATTTATGTATTACTGTTATTAAGCCAGGGATTTCGTTATCACAAATTACTTAAAACCTTTACTAAATTCTTCCATAGATATAAAGATTTGGTTTTGAGGTTTGATTGTTCCTGTAGAAAACTTATTGCAAACAGGATAGCACATCCTCATTTTTACGTAGATGTTGTTTACCGTGCCCGTAAATTTAGAAAAGATCCTTGTAAACTTATCGATCCTTAAAATAAACTTATTCTAAAAGGTTACCAATTCAACACTGTAATTAGATCATTGAATATTGTTTTTATTGGTATAAGTATTGAATTTGTTATCAGTAAATTAAAAGCCAACTAAATATAATTGTTTTATACACAGACACATTTATGGATCTACAATCTGTCGATACCCGTATCTTGGCATTGCACAAGGTCATGTTTTTCTCTGACTATTTATGACGTCTTTACACTATATCCATTGGATGTTGGGTGTGTACTGATTGATAATTTAGTCTTAGATGTATGATTTTTTTTAATTAGTTGTAAGGGGCTTTGAACTAGCTGTCAGTAACTGCGAGTACTCTCAGATCTGTACTTGGTGTCTTTTTGTTGTTTTTAAATGTTTTATATACAAGTACCCGGCCACGTCCACTCTGTGTTTGTTAGATGCATTTCTATTTGTATCCATCTGATGAGTTAAGCCTTTTTCAACTGATTTTTATAGTTCGTTCTGTATGTATGTGCCTGTGCCAAGTCAGGAGCCTGTAACTCAATGGTTGTCGTTTAATCATGTGTTACATATTTGTTTTTCGTTCATTTTTTTGTACATTAATCAGGCCGTTAGTTTTCTCGTTTGAATTGTTTTACATTTGTCATTTCGGGCCTTTTATAGCTGACTATGCGGTATGGGCTTTGCTCATTGTTGAAGGCCATACGGTGACCTATAGTTGTTAATTTCTGTTTTATTTGGTCTCTTGTTGTGAGTTGTCTCATTGGCAATCATACCACATCTTCTTTTCTATATACACATGTTTGTTAAACGATTGACCCTTACATAACAACTATCATGCTGACTATACTTCTTTCTGTTTAGAAAAATTCTATACCTGACTTGCCTGAGGTTATTGAACATAACGGATTATTGAAGTTACATGAATTTCTTAAAGCGATATTTGAAACCATAAATGATTTTTAAGCCTTTATTTTCTTCGAGGAACAATTCTTTAAATCGATATCCACACTTAAATCATTCAAAACGACGAATCTATAAAAGGTGAGGTCACATTTCTTTATGAACTAAGTGAAACACCATTTTAACCGTTTCACACGTTTTAGAATGACAAAAAAAAAATCACACAAAAGAGTTCTGTGTATTCATGTCAAAAAAATGTTTACTACTACACTTTAAATATTTGAAAACACTGTTCCTTAAGATAAGTCAAAAGTATTACATATAAAGAAGACTTGTAAACATAGTAGATAATGTGCTGCTTTTGAATAGTACTTGTTCATATCATAAAGATAAAAAGATGTTTTATGAGTGCCAATTTTTGCATATATAAATAAATTGAAATTCCTCACGACCTCTGGAACCGAGAGTTCAATGTAAATGTACTCCTTTTTTGATATCTCTGAGTATCCTTAATAAACCTCCATATACAAAATATTGTATCATTCAAAAATATTTCGTATAACCGTATAAAAAGAGATGTAGGTTAATGTCATAAAGACAGCAACCCAAATAACACGAACAGCCAAAATCATAAACAGGTTATCTTTACGCCTGCAATTTTTTTATATATGTTGCTTACTTGTCCTAGTCATAGAAATAGGACGCTTGATTTGATTTGATTTTTGGTGTTTTAGAGCCACTTTTAAGCACCGCTATTGGGCTATTTCTTGGCTGCCAGTTTTTGTTGGTGGAGGAAGCCGGAGTGCCCGGAGAAAACCAACAACCTTCGATAGGAAAACTGGAAATAAAGATTATAGTCGAGTGCATATGCACGAGCGGGGTTCAAACTAACAACCTCAGTGCTGACTGGCATGTGATTACAGTAGTAACTACTTAGAACACTCGGCCACCGAGGCCCCTTAGGACGTTAGAAGACTAGAAGAAAAATTGTATAGGTTTATCTCGTTTTGAAAGCCTTATCATTGCTTACTTCATTGTTTTTACTTTGGTTTCTTTTCTTTTTTTCAGTTTTGTTCTTTTTGTTTATACCCGTTTACATTTAAACGCATTGGAGCCTTCAACTTGTAGAATAAGAATTTAAAACTGAAAACATGGACACACGTCCCTTAATGAAGAACTCAAAATTATAATTGTGAAAAGAAAAACTTTCGAGCTTTTGATAATTGTTTGATTCTAAACATTGATAAGCTATAAAAAAATAGTTATTTCCACTTCTCCCTTAGGTATGTTAGCATGGTTAGGGAAATATGAATCTATGCTATAACAAAAACTAAACTCTGATGTTATTTATGTTTTTAAATCAACATACACAATGTAATATGATTCATGTCATTATCGAACTGTAAAAGGTATTTAAATCATATAAGCTAACGAGGCGAAAAAATCAACAATGATCCGAATAATAACTTTACAATGAGTGTATGCTATTTATACACTGATCGTCATTTGATGAACAACGTTTCAAAACATCTGTTAACAAGTTAATAGTAACAATCAATGGAACCTTTGAAACAAAGCGGAACACCATGTAAAGTTATAAAAATTTCCTTGAGAGTGTAATCGTGTTGACTAAAATAGATTTGGCTCGTTTAATTTTCATAAAAATATTTACTTCGACCTGTTGACAAAAACAAAACAAAAACAAAAAAAAGACCCAAGAAATTTAAACACACAATTTGCCGGAATAAATTCGTTCGTAAATAATGTTAGTCACATCCTTCTGCTCCTTTACAAAATATCTGGTCGAGCACAAAATTTCAAAATATGAAAGATGAATACTTACTTATATGCATCGTCATTTAATCAAGTCATGATGCTGTAAGTCAACGTCCGTGGTGATATCAGGTGCAAGTTAACAGATCAGAAGGTGCGCAATTATGAATTATGTTTTTTTTTTTTTCTTCTCAGAATTACTACAACAATGGACTTGGTTATTTATCGATCTTGAACATAGATAAGGGCGACAGAAATGGAATTTAAACATAGACACATCATTTAACGATTGAAAATTATGGGTGGTAATATTTTGTAAACTTCAGCAAATTGCTTTTTATATAGTTTGTCTGCATTTCTTTCAGATTTTTAATTTGCGCAAAATGGTGACCTAATTGTAAATATAGATATTCTGCATATTATACTGTATAGACGGACAGACATCTAAGGTATGTGTAATTTGTATCTCAAGAATTAAAATTGAATACATTACGTGTTCTCACAGATCCTTACAGGTAACAAAATACTATAAAGTATTAACACACCTCATCAGAACGTCTATTTCGCTCATATTTTACCATTTGATATGTTATATTATTTCAAGTGTTACATTGAATGAACATGTTGTTATTTTGATCAATATTATATAACAACATCGATACACTGAATTTATGCAAAGTCTGTATCAGTAACACTAAAACTTAAACAAAGAGTCTCTTCTAATATGTTCTTTATCACATAGTTTCACATAGATAAAGGCTAATCTTGTTTCATATTTTCAAGCAAGTTACGGGAGTACAAAACACATAAGGAAGTTACTTTTTTAAAGATTATCTAAACGTTTTAATATTAGTAAAGAAAAAGGAAGCTTCCCAATAGCCGAAATTCGTGTTTGTCAAACTGCTATATATCCAATGAATTTATTCCTGATATAAATACACGAGTATGATGGACCAGACCAATTTAAATCATACTCGTGTATTTATATCAGAAATAAATTCATTTGATATATAGCAGTTTGACAAACACTAATGTTGACCATTGGGAAGCTTCATTTTTCTTTACCAATAGTATGTGATTAAAACGTTCAGCCAATCTTTAAAAAGTTAACTTCCCTAGGTGTTTTGTAAACCCGAAACTTGAATAAAAACATGAATCAAGATTTACCTTTATTTATGTGAAACATTGTCAAAGTTGGGTACACTCTTTGTTCCGTAAGGCTGAACAGAACATACGACACAGATGAGAACGTCTAACTACTCTATTGAGCAACACTCAATAACATTTTTGAAACTTGACGTTGACATCATGTATGATCTAGAATGTATCATATGATATATTATGGTATTATTGCGTAACAATTTTCATAATGGCTTAGTTATAGGTCCGATATGGCTGCCCGAGGACCTATAACTAAGCCATTATGAAAATTGTTACGCAATGATACCTTTATTAATTAACCAGTCCAATATGAACTCTAGCCGGGCCAATATGAAGATTGAAAATAGTGTGAAAATCTGACATTCAGGACTTCAATAGTAGTGATTTGAATATGTATCAATGAAAATTTAGGATTTTAATCAAAACAATAAAATAGTAACAATTTTACTGAATAATCAACAGTAAATAAACACAACAAGTAAAAACATGTTTTTATCTAGTTTTTCAGATTAAAGCTCTTGGCTGCAGTTTATAGTATTCTTTCTTTCCCCTGAGTATATATTAATATTGAAAACACCACCTGTTATAGTTGCACCTGCAAACATTGACATGGGGTTGACATGTTTGTTAGCAGTTTGATTATTTGTATTTGATACATTTGCATTTAGATTATTATGAACTAATGTACTTGAGTTTGACAGTTCACATGGTTCTTCTGAATCTGATGTCGTCTGTAAATCTGAGTTCGGCAACATGACCTTAGATATTGTGTGAGAAGCTTGTTGCTGTTGTTCAATAGACGGTACTGAATAATGAGTTAAGGTACTAATGCCTTTCCAGCCTCCTAATTGAGCAACTTCATTGGCAGGTCTACCATTTTGAAGAAGTGTGGTAGCAAAAGTTTTACGTCCCGAATGATTAACCTTTCTTCCTTTAAGATCTCCTTTTTTCTGCCATATTTTTTACCATTTTACCTAATTTATCTTTGCCTATGGTTTGGCGAGAATATCATATTTCCTCATGTTTATTATCTAAAGGCCTCAAATAAAATCTATGTTCATCAGTTAATGTGTTTTGAGGTCTATGCCGTTTGTATTCCTTGTAAACATGAATAGGGCAATTACTTCCTCCTTCCCCGAAAATCTTTGGAGTAATATCCCGGAAATCCCTGCTTTTTGCTCCACTACGGGTTTTGGTGCTTCTTTCTGAAAAAAGTATGTTTATGTCAATATTTAAAGAAGAATTATCCTTCCTGTCTGTACAAAACTTTCACTTTTATATAACGAAAAAACATGTATGTCATAGTTAAATAAGATTTGTTTTGATAAATATAAAACAATGGTTATCCTTAAAAGCACAAATTACCAACTTTTGTCAGCACTGTTGTATATGTACATCCATTATCCACAGAAGTATATATTCTGTGATTTCTAAAAGATTTAAAGTATCAACTATTTAAATAATGGAAATCAAAACATAATCTCACCATTAAATTCCAAATACTCCTTTCCATCAGATGTAGCTTTTAACTTGACATCTCCCCATGTCATGTTAACATGGTCTTGTCGACCTCGTAGACCAAAGTATGTTGCATTATTTAAAAACACAGCATTCAGTAATGCTTCAGGGTTTTCTGGAAAAAGAAAAAAAAAGAACTTAACTAAAATACATGTATCTTAATGTAAATATCCAACTTAAAATAGTATTTAAAGGATAAATACTGTATCAAAATGCAAAAGACGTCTGGAGACGCTCTCATTGTTCAAGACCTTATGTGTATTTTAAACATTACTTATTAGAACAACCATTTGATAATCGGGGATGGATAGAGGGCGACAAGGAAATAAAATAATTTGTTTGCCACAAGGTTAGAAAAATGTTTGATTAAAAGTTACTGACTGACACACTGGAATACAACATTTTTTTTATACTTACGTGTTCCAATAACGCCTTTCTCCCTCAAGATTTGGATTTCCTCAGTCGTCAAAGGTTCAGCTCTGTTTGGCTTACTTCCCTTGCCCAATGACTTTAATGCCTTTCGCTTCGCTTCTAACACCCGTCTTGTGTGGTTGAACTCAGGATCCTTTTTAATACTGAAACATTAAAGAAAAGATGTGCATAATATCTGACATGTAATTTTTGTATGTACATGTTTTATAGCAAAGAGAAACCAAGGAATATTCATTGTACACAAGCTTAAGATCATCAAAACCACATAGACCCAGATGATACATATAGTTTTTACCCAAAAAAACTGACACAAGGCTAAAATTAAAATATTGGCACTGAATATTAGAGTCATAATGCTTGACAGAAGAATGCAAAGGCCTCACTATCATGCTATATAAAGACAAGGGAGTTACATGTCTCACAGTTATCAAATAATCTACATGAAAATAATCGTACCTTATGCTACTTTTTGAGTCCTTCAAATGTCTATCCAAGCTGTTGTACATAGAGGATAAAGAGTCAGACTCATATTCCTCACCATTTTTCTTCAGGACTCCAAGAAAAAATCTTGACAACAGACTGTCCAAGTCTTTGACAGGTATTTCCACTGAATCACGCATTTCTCCAACAGATATGAAAAAATCCAGCATCACTTTCAAGTCGCTCTTTGTTTTAGTTTTTGTGTTCTTGTTAACACTTAAAGCTAGAAAAGAGTCAGTGTCTTCATCAGTGATAGAGCGAAACCTCTTGCTACTTGCGCTATTTTCTTTGTCTGATTCGTCAATCTCATCATTATGTGCATTTTCAATGTCCTGCAGAATTTCATTTGGGAAGTTGAAATTCGCTGGATCAACGTCTACCATCACCAAATTTCCTTCGCCATTGACATCCGCGATATTTCTCCTGATGTACTCTGCCTCCCTATTAGATAAATCGTCGTAGTGAAAATAGTCTTTAACTAACGCATCCATTGCATCCTCTATATTTTTTATAGAGCTATTGCTCCATCGTTTTGTTGCCATTTTCTCCTGTCAGACGACACTAGCCGTCGTTCTCTTGGCAGTTTTACTCGTATTTAGTTAAATATACACCTGTTAATTTATAAATATGAATATAATGTTATTCTAATGTCTTTTTTGATTATTTGCAACTAGACGTCAGATAGGCCCCCCTTTTGTTGGAAAAATTGGTTGGTTATTAAGGAAACCACTGAAGCATGACTAGAGCGAGCCCTATCTTAGGTAATCAGTGGGCCCCCTTATAAAAATTTCTGGATCCGATTCTTGCAATCAATCTGGGTTTTGTTCTTAGCTCATTTCACAAAAAGGCCCAAGTGAGATGTTCTCATCACTTTGCGTCCGTCGTTGTCTGCTAACTTTTGAAGAAATCTTCTCCTGTGAAATTACTGGGCCAATTGGAACCAAATTCGGCCACCATCATTAATTGAGTATCTGGTTTATCAAATGTGTCCGTTGATCCCACCTACTGAACACCATGGCCAACATGACTATTAATAGAACATAGAGATAAAATGCAAGTTTGATTATTTTGAAACCTGGTTGATAAAAAGAATCATAAATATTCAGAATGTTATGATATACCAACTGTCTTTTTAAACAAAGACTCTCAGACAACTCCTTTAATAAGTTATTGTTCTTTAATGAATTTTTTTTTACATTTGTCATATTTGTTTGTACTTATATTTTTATCTGAAAAAATCAAATGAATAGCGAGAAACTTTGATTATCAAAATTCATCAGCAAGACAATATCTACAAATAAGTTAAATGGCTAAAACAGTGTGTCGAATCTTAATAAGAAATATGTTGTTAGTCTTGTATGTTTTTTTTTAATTTTAGTTCGGAGTTTAGTGTGACGTCCATTTTCATTGAACTGGTGCACATTTTTGTTTAGGGCCAGCTGAAGCCCGCCTCCGGTTGTGGGATTTTATTGCTGTTTTGAAGACCCATTGCTGGCCTTTGGCTGTTTTATGCTCTTTGGTGGGGTTGTTGTCTCTTTGACACATTCCCCATTTCCATTCTTAATTTTATATTGCACTATAACTATAATTTTTACCAATTTGTCCTGTCAACACTGAGGCTGTGAGTTTGAATCCGGCACGTGACAGGTGCGTTCGACTCCAATCTTAATTAATTAGTTTCTCTACCGAAGGTTGGTGGTTCTCTCCATCCACTCCGGCTTTTTCCACTAATAAAACTGACCGCAATGAAATAGCGCAATAGTACTAAAGTTCCGTTTAACACCAACCAATCAATTAATTTACCAATTTGTAGTGTGTTTGATCATTAATTTAAAACTTTTATAGATAAAGAGAATTGTGTAATAATAAAATGACCAGAAAGAAAATATCCACAAATACATCAATATCAGTAGACTACTTATGGAAGTTATTGCTCTTAGCTATATATAGATGAAATGTTTACTCAATTGTGCATGTTTGTCCAAAACTATAGTAGAAAAATAGATACAGGAAACAGCAAAAGTGATCAAATATATTGATATGTCTGATATTTTCCGTCGACTACTAATAGGACTTATTGCCCTTTAATGATGAGTTTTACCCATTTTTTTTAATATAATGAAAGTAAAAATTGAATTAAACTAAAAAATAAACTGTTAACGACAAAATAGGAAGCCATAAAAGATCTAAAAATAGGTAAAATTTGTCGAAATTGAAAATCTACTCCTGACATGTATTTGTTTAAGCTTAAATAACGATGTGTACCCTTTTTATGTCAAATGTTTTTGTTAAAAAAAAATCCATTGAATTTAAAGAGAAACGGTTGAAATTAAAAATGATCAGCAAAACAAGTATTTCAAAATATTCAACAAAGCCAAATTTTGAGCGCTTACTTCTTATAAAAGTTTGCCTTCAGTTCAATAGCTTATTGTTACTTAGTTTTAACCACGCAGTCTGTTATATCTTGTTGAAAATAAACATAAGAAATGGAACTCTTTATTAGAAAAGGTAAACAATGTCAATTTTGTATATTTGAACTGTTAACACCTGTTTCTATGGGCTTTAAAAGTTTAATGTCGGGGCATAATTTAGGCTTTCGTGCATGTTATATACGTGTTTATAATAAAATTATAATATGGAACTTCGAGGTATTTGTTAACTTTTAAATTAAAAAAACAAATTTTCTCAAAACAGTCGATTCCTAGAAATGGGCAATAATTGCATCGAAAAGGGAAAGTCGAGTACATTTTTCATGTTCAGGCGTGTTTGAATAGACTGTTTTGTCTTTAAAACAAATAAAGCAAAAATATGTGATACATCTTCTCGCTTCAGATTCTATTATGTTCTCATATTTAGGCTACATGTTGATATACTAAGATTAAAAACTCGCAGTACTAAAACATGAAATATATGGGTTAAGTGATCTACCTTTCTAATAAGTCATAACAACTGAGTTGGTGTGTTTGAATAACAAATTTTTACTGAAAACCCTTGGCGACAGACTTTACAAGTGGATCTACAAAATGTATTACTTAAACAAAATCCATTTTTTGTATGAATTATCTAGGGTAATTCGTCTACAACCTCTGACAATTTTTATTCTGCCCTCCCATTAAATATTTAATTAGATTTTCTATTTCGTGTTTTTGAACTTTCGAAAAATTCCTCCTGACAAACGGTCAGACAGTATAAGGCATAAAAGTACATTAAACTATGCTTAATATCTAGTAGACATATTTGTCTTTTAAAATACAACTGGCATATAAGGATCTTAATGATGCAATATGGATAAATTTTTCGGTTTTCAAGAGCTAAATTGACAGCGCGTCATCCCCTACAATGGCTTCCATTTTTACAATTGAAATCAATTAGTTAGCGTAATAGTAAAAGTAGAATCCTGACTTCATGTAGAAAAGGGGATTATAATGACAAATACTCTTTCTTGCTAATTGAATTTTGTATTCTTGAAGTTGTATGGACGTCATTAATCGGCCTACAATTTTATGTTGCTGTATTTGTTTTTCAGATCTTTTATTAAATGCTCAATATGCTGACTTAGTTCCGCTGTAACTAGAAATAGTATACATTATTCAGAGATTAAAAGTATTTAAATCATCACTTTGCTAAGTTCTCGCAAAAAGATCACTTTCTCTTCATAAAATCATTTCAAACGTTAAAATAACAATGTTTTAATTTCGATTTATTACATATCAATATCAATTAAATCTATTGATAAACTTATTATGTGTATCAGTGAAAATGTCGCATGATTGTCTGACCTGTCTCTGTCCTGTCATATTTTCAAATATACAAAACCCATTTAGAATAGAATTTTCCTATTAAATATCCCAATAAATACAGTAGGTCACATTTCTTTATGTACTACATAAAGTGGTACAAGATTAAAACCTGTTGAAATATTTTTAAATGACACAAAAATGTTTTGTTATCGTTAATGTCAAGGATGGCTAGTTTTATATATTTTATTGAAAGTAATGTTCCGTAAAGCAAACAACGAACCATAATGTAACATAGAATAGCTCGATAAATAGTAGAACATTTGCAGCTTTTGACTTAGACTTAAGATTTGTTTCATATACATTTAATTGAAATGAGTAACGACCAGTGAAACTTGTCTTATTTTGGTTGTTCAACAACGAGTTGCAATGTTTTGTGAACATCAATCATGTCATTTTGACATGGAAGATTAGGTCATTAAGATAATATTATGTAAACTTAAAGTAGTTCAATATTTTTCTTGATGACCTCGTTCTTGTCTAGGTACAGGCATTTACCTTTTCATACATCACAGATGTTCACTGTTTTCATTGTTACGAAACTGTCTTGTCTTACTTTGTCTTTCATTGATACTTGATAGTATGGTTTTGAAATGTCGTGGTCCTTGATGTATACCATGCAACAGATGGTTACCAGACACAGTTACGATTGGTTACGGTTTAAATTTGTATAAAGCCATTTGCACCTAAAAATTCTTATGAAAACGGTGCATCGAAAATACTTAACTACCATGCACAATTCTTTTGTATACTAGCGCCTTCCCAATTCCAACCTATAATTATATATGACAAAAAAGACGTGTAGTACTTATTTATCAATCATACAAAATCAACGGTTATTTCGTACGGAGTTACAATATGATAATAATTTCCGTGTGCTTAATACATATTCCTGGAACGACATTCGTCAGGTATGGTTATGAACAAAGTAACGAATAAGAAAATGAAACGAGACTTAAAGAAAGCAGACAACCCGAAAACTGTCTATGTTAAAAATAATAATACATATGGATTACTTTGACACACGTTTTTCCTCTTTTCCTGATCATGATAACAACGTGTGCGAGTTAAAACCATGTTTCATGATTTTGTCTTTTGTTCTTCTTTGACTGTTGGATTTTAAGTATCTTCTTCAACTTGTTTATATATATATCTCTACAATGTATATATAAACATTTAATCGGTATGAATCTTTACTTTTGCTATTTTATTTTTTAGATTTAAGTTAGATTTAAATTTTATTTTATAGAGCCATATTCACCAGTATGTCTCTGTCAACTTTGAGAAAGAACTTTTATCGCATAGCTACATTGATTATCGACCATGGGGCTGAATCAATGCGATGTTTGTTAGATCAGTTTATTCAGACAAAATACAGAATTTCCTTTAGAGACTATGTGTCAAATCATCAACATGAGATTTATCACCACTTTAATAATGGAATATGTTGTTTGTGCTCAAAAAATTATCATCCGCCTCAAAAGGCTGTTATAAGCGCATGGCAAATGGAAAAGCTTTTTGACAAAAATAGTCCAAAACTTTCATGTCATAAATCAAGCAGTAAATGTGACTATTGTTGTAGTACTGTAAAATCTACTTTGCAAATACAAGACATAGACATAACGTTGTTGAGATTCTTCTTGGTTACATACTTCGAAGAGGAATTTTGGCAAAACTGCATCTCGGGTAGTTTGTTATTTCACGATTTTCTGAACACACATAAGCACGATTTTTTTCATTTTCTGCAATTGAATACTCCATGCTGCCTTTGTAAAGATCATCCAGAATACACGACTATGTTGTTAACAGAAAGGGATAGACTGAATAAAACTGAATGGGAGACAATGTTTCAAGTTACTGAGCTACCTTGTACTCAACACAGAAGTTTTTTTCCAAATGGTAACATATTTATTCCATGTTCTGTGTCTGCAAGAATAGGAATTCGTCATTTAAATTTGAAAGGCCGTGCACGAATGATCATTTTGTCAAAATTCTGTGCCTTGATGAGACATATGGATGAACTGGTGAAGGCTAGGAATACAGTGTTTGCCCATGCAATAAAAGGAGAACTGCCAGACGAGGATTTCAGACAATTATGGATTGAAATCGAAAATTCTATTATATATGTTTCTAACATCACCAACACAGTCGACAGTCGAAAATTATGCATTTTGGAGCTAAGCGAAAAATCACTGGAGGAATCAATGTGTTTGGAATTACAATGTTTGATACTGAAAAAAATGCACGGAGATGAACTTGTCCTCGAGGTATTTTATATTGTAAATATATTCATGTGATAAATGTATTTATCTTCAGTCCATCTGAAACAGATTAAGATTAAAGGGTTGTTAATGATGAATTATCATATATAAAAATGGAAAGTTTAAAAGCAGATAGAATATATCCAGATACGATATATCAAAATATGGCCTTCCATTTGAATACGGTATAATTGTTATTTTTTAAGGTCCCTTTACAGTCTATAAGCAAGACTTTAAATAGAAAATTATCTAAGATAGAAAATGTCGAAACCTTAATTCATGCAAATTCAATATATTCTAATATAATTTTATTTCAATTGTTTATTTATATATTGTTAAAATGTTTTGCTTATTTGTAGGCATGTCACAAATTACAGGACACAGTTGAAATGGTAAAAGAAATCATTGACCTAAAACTTCAGCAAATAGAATTGCAAATAACAGCATTTACATCGAACATGTCAGACGTTGTGAGAAATGAACTTGCAATAAAGCTGAATGAATATTCAGGTCAGGAATAGTTGTGTTTTATTATTTGATTTGCAAAAAGCATGCACATTTTTAAAACCGGAATGGTAGTATCGCAATGAATAAGAGTGTCACAGAAATTTATAATTCAAGTTTGACATTTACATCAAAGAGCATTTCCAATCGAGACAACTTCTAGAACATTCAGTATAAGTATTTATCTCACATCAGTGGTAACATCTTATACAATTGTCAATGACGGGTATGAGTTCGTTACGCATTGAATAAATAACACGTTTGTGAATGCAGTTTGTATCGTGGACAACGCTCTAGAGAAATATACCAGTTAATAGTGTTTCAAATCTTGATATTGTCCATCGCATTTACGTACATTGAATTTGATGAAAACTAATGAAAAAAACACGCGAAAGAATAAGGAAATCAAATTTAATTTACTTATATCTGTTTCTTTCTCTTATTTTGGTAGATACAACAAGGAATATCATAGGTAAGTTAAAATTTATGTTTTATTAGATAAGTAAGCATTACATTAATAACTTCTTTTTTCTAAGAAAGTGTAACTTATTTAATTGAAATATTTGGTCTTAATTGTTAAATGAAAACTACATGATTACCAATGTTTTTTCCTCAATAATGACCATCTGTGTTCATAATTGTTCCACTTCCCTACGTAAACATTTAAAAAAAAAATTGTTTGCTGATACTGTGAATCACGAAATCGCATTTTCTCTTCTTTTCTATACTAATTTCAATCTATTTGTCGTCAAGCGAATCACTCGACATTGTTTGCTTAGTCATTGTGTATTCTGAATTTGCTTGTCAACGAACATAAAGAAGAAAGCACGATTTAGGATGAAAATGCCTATAAATTGAAATATATCTAACGACTTCTCTTATTTGCATGGTTTATAAGGCCACAGAAAAGCAAAACATTACCATATCACACAGAATAATGACTCTTTGACGCATACATTTTTTTAATCGGGCATATTTTCTCAGATGGAGTCATTTTATTAAAATCTCAGTCAATGTGTGCCCATTAATGATGATAACTCCAGTAAATCGCTTCCGATGCATGAAATTCATAAAGCGTTGGTTTCATTTTATAATAACTATAATAGTTCATCATAAATTCATGGTATCATTCAATATCTATTCTCGGTAGATTGACAAATCAACAACGACCATTACGTCTACAAAAACATACTGACCGACTAAACAACTGGATTACTCATTCGAGTGCCACTAATGAGTGTGTGTGCATAGAACGTCGTCTAACACACTTTATTATATACTTAGTAGTAACAAACGATAAATTGTATTTGTAATACGGACAACGGCAATAGTGCTGTATCAGCCATCCGTGTTGATATCGATATCAGTCACGGTTGGAAAAGTTTTATCACACCTTTTATCTGTATGAAGTCACGTTATCGATATCAGTCACTGTTGCAAAGGTTTTATCAAACCCCTTATCTGTATAACTCATGTCACGTTGAGGTATATGTATATAAAAAAATGTATATGATATGGCTTTTCAGTATCACACACCGTATCAACCCTCAACAATATAATCCTTCGAGCAGAGCTCTTGGGGTTATATTGTTCTCACGGGTTGATACGGATGTGATATTGAAAAAGCCGTATGATATTATTTATAAATCATACGTGTAAGCGAAAGTTTTTTTTTATCGACGCTTATTCATAATCGGATTCTATTTTTACATAAAAAAAATCAATTTTGGACATTTTCAAAATAAAGCAAATACACTTATTGCTTTATGTTCAAGAAATCGTCTGTTTCACGAGATCAGTAGATCTATTAGAATACTTCGTTTACTGACCTTTTATTCCAGTATACGCTATGAAGAAAAGCATTATCAAAACTTTGAACTGATTGAATATTCATTAGTAATATATGTATCAAGTTTGGCAATTATCTTAAGATGTAACAAGAATGCGATTTCAAACAGAATACAATTGTTCTATCAATATTTCAGTATATGTCGTGTATCAAAAGTGTCTGTGCATGACTAATGTGCTTTTTTTTAACAAATAAGTTTGTTTTAAAGTAAGCAATCCCTTTCATGTTTAGTTTTTAAAACGAAATTAATTGGAAACATGTTTTGAAAGAATACATTTTTATTTCTTTATCAATAAAAAAAACATTACCTTAATTTAAATTCGAGGATCATTTCTATTTTAGGTAACACAAAAAGGGAAATCGAATCACATGACGAAGATAAAACCTATGTAAAGACATCTGCAGTAACTGCTGCAACTGAACTACTACATAGTAACAACTTACTTATTATTTTTGGTAGAGCAGGGAGTGGGAAAACTTCCATGGCTTTAGAGATAGCATCTCTGTTTCATGCCAATGGGTATATCATTATGAAACTAGAACAAAACTTAGCAAAAGATTTTAAAACATATTTCATAAGTAAAAATAAGCAGTTGATCATTTTTGAAGATTTGTTGGGGAAAGCTGATATCAGATATATTAAAGATATACATTCCAATCTTCTAGAGGTTTTGAAACCTCATGTGTTAAATGGCGTGTCTAAATTCATAATTACGGTAAGAAGTTACAAAAGTGAAGATGAGGAAGAGATAGCGACATATCATCAGTTGCTGTCGGAAGCAAGGGTAGTAAATCTAAATGGAAGTTTCATTTTATCTGATTTAGAAAAACAAAATATATTAGAAATGCATGCTAAACATTTTGGACGTGACATTTCCATTTGTGAAATTGAAAGCATAATAGCAACAAATTCGTATCTAGGATTTCCACAGGCTTGCCGTTTGTTTTGCTCATTCGAAAAGTTCTTTAAAATGGGACATGCGTTCTTTACATCGCCAACTGAAGAACTTCAAAAGGAAATAAGCTTTTTAAAGCTATCCGGTTATACGAACATTGATTCAGCGATACAATACTGTGTTCTTGTTTCTTTGATGCTAGATTCCGCAGGTAAAGGTTCCTTTTCTGAAAACATATGTAGCGCAGCCCATGAAAGCAACGATCCTTTCAACAAGGTCAAGAACATTAACAGATATGCTATTGAATATTTATATCAATCATTATTTTCCAAAGAGGTGATGATAACATTAGACGATGTACATGAAATATGTAAAAACCTTTCTGATAAGTATATAAAAAACGATATAAATAGTAATACATACACGTTCCAACATGTAACGGTTTTCGAAGCGGTATTGTCTTCTTACTGGCACCCCAAAACAATGGAAGACGTTATAAGATACTTTCAGGTCAATATCCTTGCAGAATATGTTAGGCCATTTGACTCTATTGTTAAAGATAATAAGAAGTATGTGTTCGTTCCGATCGGCGAATGTACTCATCTAGTTAAAAAAATGTTTGAAATCTTTTTAGACAATTATTATTATTTTATTGAATGCTTTAGCTTAATTAATCAATCAAAATTTACTTTGAATTTGTTCAACTTAGAACTAGATGGATGGTTTGAAATAGAAGAGAATGTTCTGCAAATTGAATGGGGTAAGCTGATGGAATTCACAAGACCCTTCAATTACAAGAAGGAAAACAACCAAATATGTGGATATGTAGATAAGAAATATTTAATACAAAGATTTATGATTGAATTAGATAAAAGAGCCGTAGAAGTTTACGAATATATTAAAAGATATGGTTGTGGCGAATTTGTCAAAGATTTCAATGATAAACTTACCAAAAGGTTTCAATCAGCAGAAAATAGAGCAAATTGTAAGTGGGAGGTAATACGTCATTTTGTTCGTCCGACTACAATCGCAATTAAAACTGATCAAAAAGGTACGGTTACAAAGGACGTCTGGTTAATATATAGATTAATTGATATATTGCTACGACATGAACCATTGAAACGTAGAGATACAAAAACATCGGCGATAAAACATTATATTGAGAAGTATGGATGTAAAACATTTGTTAAATATTTCAATGAAAAACTTATGGAAAGGTTTCAAACAGAAGAAAGTGTTGTAAATTGTAAATGGGAGGTAATTGATTATTTCATTCGTCCGACTACATTCCAAATTGAAATTGGTCAAGTAGGTACTGTCACAAAAGACGACTGGTTAATAATAGGATTAGTTAATAGATTGTTGAAACATGAACGTATAAAACAAAAAGATGACATAACATGGAATATTAAATCTTACATTGAGACGTATGGATGTGAAAAGTTTGTCAAAGATTTTAATAAAATACTTGCCGAGAGGTTTAAATCAAAAGAAAATGTAAATTATTGTAAGTGGAAGGTGATTCATCGTTTTATTCGTCCGACTACATTCCAAATTGAAACTGGTCAACTAGGTACTATAACAAAAGACGTCTGGTTAATAGAGAGATTAATAGATATCATATTGATATATTCACCTGAACCTTTCAAGCGAAGAGATGACAAAACAGAGGATGTAAAAAAATACATTGAGAGGTATGGATGTAAGTTTGTGGAACATTTCAATAGAATACTTGCCGAAAAATTTCAATCAGAAGAAAAAGTAGTAAATTGTACATGGATGGTAATATATCATTTTATTCGTCCGACTACATTCACCATTGGAATTGGTCAAGTAGGTGTTGTCACACAGGACGTCTGGTTGATTAATAAATTGATAGATATATTGATAGAGGAGAGATCATTCCAGTGTAGAGAGGACAGAATAAGGAAGTGTAGATATTACATTGAGAAGTATGGCTGTGAAACCTTTGTTAACGATTTCAATGATAAACTGGTGGAAAGGTTTCAATCAAGGGACACTGTAATTAACTGTATGTGGGAGGTAATACATCATTTTATTCGTCCGAATACATTCAACATACAAACTGGTAAAATTGGTACTGTCACAAAAGACGATTGGTTAATATATCGATTAGTAGATATATTGGTGGAAGTGAGGATATTCGAACGTAGAGATGTCAGAGCAAAAGAGGTAAAAGATTACATAGAGAAATATGGATGTGAAACGTTTGTCAACGATTTCAATGATAAAGTTAAGGAAAGGTTACAAGCAGAACAAGATGTTTTGAATTGTAAGTGGGTGGTTATAAATCATTTTATTCGTCCGAGTACATTTGAAATTGAAAGAGGTCAAGTAGGTTATGTCACAAAAGATGATTGGTTAATACATAAATTAATAAATATATTGGTGGAAAGGGGGTCGTTCGAACATAAAGATGTCAGACCAAGGGAGGTAAAAGATTACATTGAGAAGTATGGACGCGAAACGTTTATCAACCAATTCAATGAAAAACTAATGGAAAGGTTTCATTCAGAAAAAATTGTTGTGAATTGTGAATGGGAGGTAATTGATTATTTTATTCGTCCGACTACATTCCAAATTGAAATTGGTCAAGTAGGTACTGTCACAAAAGACGACTGGTTAATATTAGGATTAGTTAATACGTTGCTATTCACACGAATAAATGACAAAACAAGGGCGATAAAAATTTACATAAAGAAATACGGATGTGAAACGTTTGTCAACGACTTCAATAAACAACTTTTGAAAAGGTTTCAATCAGAGGAAAATGTAAACAAGTGTACTTGGGAGCTAATACAACATTTTATTCGTCCGACTTCATTCCAAATAGAAAATGGTCAACAAGGTACTGTCATAAAGGACGTCTGGTTAATACAGAGATTAATAGATATTATATTGGTTAATATGATATTCCAACAAAGAGATTACAGAACATGTATGTTAAAAAATTATATTGAGAAGTATGGATGTGAACAGTTTGTTCAAGATTTTAATGCAAAACTAACAGAATGGTTTCAATCAAAAAGAAATGTACTAAATTGTGAGTGGGAAGTAGTTAATAATTTTATTCGTCCGACAACATTCAACCTAGAAATTGGTCAAGTAGGTGCAGTCACAAAAGACGACTGGTTGATATATCGGTTAGTAAATGCATTGGTCAAAGATGAACTATATAAAGATAGAAATAACAGAACGTGGGAGGTGAAAGATTTTATTGAAAAGTATGGATGTGAACAATTTGTCAAAGATTTCAATAAAAAACTTACGCAATGCTGTCAATCAGAAAAAAATGTTGTAAAATGCGAGTGGAAAGTAATAGATTATTTTATTCGTCCGTCTAGATTCAGAACAGAAATTGGTCGAATCGGTATTGCCATTGATGACGGCTTGTTGATACATAAGTTAATGAATATATTGGTGGAACAGGAGCCATTCAAATGTAGAGTTGATAGCATATGTTGGGTAAAAGGTTACATTGAGAAATACGGATGTGAACAGTTTGTCAAAAATTTCAATGAAAAACTTGAAGAATGGATAATGAAAAATATGGCTAATTGTAATTGGTCCATATTTACAAGTTTTGTTCGACCTAAGTCTTGTAACAGTGATCAGAATATTGGAATCTGCATTGATGTTGAACATGTTATGAAGTATCTGTTTTCAAAATTAGAACAAGCGACGAATGTGTACGCAGTAAAATCGTATATCAACACTTATGGATCATTTGAGTTTAAGACAAATTTCAACGAACGCTTAAAAGAAAAAGTAGGAAAAGGTCATGCATTAAATAAAGAGTGTACATGGGAAAGTTTGGAAGTTTTCTTTGAGAATGCCGTTGAAAATGATTCCGAAGAGTCAATGTTAACGAGAGAAAGTGACAGTGATATCGGAGATTTATCTGACTCAGATTCCAGTTTTGTGGAATACGATTCTGACTACTATGATTTTTACTCTGATCTTGACGAAAATAGTCATTCTGAAGATTCCAAGTCTGATTCAAGTTAGGGTTTTTATCTCGAATCATCATTCTGAAAATACTGGTTAACTTTTGGGGTCACCGGAGTTAACATTCGATTTTTGTTCGGTTTGTGATGCGCAGTCTTTAGTTTTCAATATAATGTTTTGTTATTGTCGTTTATCACTTTGTCTTTGTTTTTGGCCATGGTGTAATTGTTTTTATTTGACTAATGATTTTTAATGCCCACTTGGTATCTTCTTTTTTCCTTTTAATACTGATACTGAAACGAACGACCGTCTAAACAAAAATGAAAATTGTAACGATGATAAATCAGACACGAAAAAGACGCAGAAAAAAAAAGAATGGAAACTAAACATGGTAATTATGTAAACAATCATTAACCATCATTTCATTGTTGAATACAACGGACTGGACAAAGTTTTTAAAACTTTTAAAAAAATTGCACCACTGATTTTATCAGCAACGCACATCAGCTGTACGTGTTCATTAATATTGTTCTTAAAATTAATGTGTATAGCAAATATGCTTCAGTAATGGCATATACTCATCTTGCGTCGAAAAGTAACCATGTGATTCAAATATTTGCCCTACCATATTAGTTTTTAAAGATACAGTTTAGAGATGAGTGACTTTTTGCATTTTCTGAATTGAAGAGCAAAGGTAGCATTTCTATATTTGTAATTGTTTTACTGATTTTTTAAGATTCGAGATCACACTTACCTATATGCGTACATTAATTATGAACACTGTTTCAGTATTGAAATACCATTAAAAAATATTGGAACAAATTAATACATCTACAAAATATCAATATCTGTGCTAGAAATATTTCTAATGTTTCGGGGTCATTCTTTATTGAAAAGAAAATCAATTATTGTCATTTTTGCTAAAGAATGTTGTTATATTTGAATTTTATATAACTATCCCACTAATTGATTCTGTATAGTTTTATAAATAACATCCATGCAAAGTGAATTTAACTGCAATTTGGATATTATCATTAATATATTATGTATCATTGATTTTTCAAAAGGATCTGTACAACATTAAAAGTTATAGGTAGGTAATATACATATTGTTTGGCGAATCATCTTCCAGTAAACCTGTATCATATGGTTTAGGATTCAGATGCTGAAATTAAATTTAAATATTGTTTTTAAATGGGGAAATAGAAAGATACAGGTAGTATGTTCTAGTTTAATGCCAAAGAAAAAGTTAGAAGTGTCGTAACATTGAGCAACAAATACTATCATGTCTTGCTGTAACTTTGGCAAATTTAATGTTCTCGTTTAATTTATATACACATATACGTTTTCTATGTACTGTGTGCGATTTTGTCCTATGTACATTTACTCCATATCTTTTTATTTTCTAGTTATTAAAGGTAAGTTTATAATATCAAATACAAATTGCTAAATAATCTATTCTGATGTGATGAATTTCAGTTTGAATGCATGCATCTTTGAAAATGAATGTGTTTTAAGCATTGAGCTCCCGAATGGAAATTAACTTTTATTTCAATTCCAAGGTAATGATATTTATATTTAAGCAAACAAATTTTTTTTGAAATATTCTTCTCAGATAGTGCAAAATCATTTTCATTCAATTTCTTTTAATCAAACAACAATGTAGGTCCTTACCAAACATTTGCAATGTATACTTTGATTTGATTTTAGTTGATTCTACGCCAACATCTTTTATTGACTATTCAAGGAAAAGATACAAACATACATCTATATCTGTGTTTTTATAAGTTGATTTGAAATATAAAATATTAAATGTGGTATAATTGACAATCATTTTCGTGAAATTTGTTCCACTTCTTTTTCCGTTTTGTTCAATGTAGGTCAATTTTACCATTGCAATGTAAGATTAATGAACGATAAGCATACTGATAAAAATCATCAAAATTTATGTAAAAACTCATTTTTATGTCTAATTACGTAGGTTTATATTGTTAAACATTGTTATATTGTGTTTAGCAACGTGTTGATTATATGTTATGTTATTATCATCTGACTGTTTTGTTTAAACAGACTTGTCTTATTAGTTTTGTATTATAATGATATGAACAAGTATTTGAGTTTTTGGTGATGTATGCAAACATTTTTCATCCAACATTTCAGGGTTTTTATAAATTATTATCCAGCAGGCATTTGCTTAGTTTTTGTCTAGCATTGATGGAGTAAAAAAAGCGAGACTTACACATATAGGTTTGCTGTTTCCGGTAGCAACAAATTGTCAACGTTAGTGACAAAGTCAGTTTTTGAAGGAACTACTTATGGTAAATAAATGATACATGTATCGTGTGTGAAGTTGTCTAAGCATTGGCACATCACATGGAGAAAATGTAGCCCTGTCCCCTCAGTTATGATCTATTCACTTTGAAACGTTTGCATAGTTTACAAATTAAATTTTTGATTTAGCCAGTTTTTATTTAAACTACTTATAATAAGTCAAAAATATTTGGTATGCAGTTGTATAAGCATTGACACATTTCATTTCTTGAAGATTATTTATGCCGCACGCTCAGTCATGGTCTATTGACTTTGAAAGAATCGCATAGTTTTAATGTTAGAGTTTCTTATTAGATCAAATTAAGGTCAACCACTGATAATAAGTCAATAATATTTGTGGCCCGTCAATCATGGTCAGTTTGCTACAGATTTCAATACAAAACTTACGCAATGGTTCCAATCTGAGTTTAATATGGTCAATTGTGCATGGAAGTTGATGTATCATTTTATTCGTCCGACCTCGTTTAAAATCGAAAATGGTCGAATAGGTTCTCACACAAACGACAGTTGGATATTTGATAAATTAATAAATAAATTGTTAGGATATCAAGCTCATAAAGTATGGGAGGTAAAATTTTACATTAGAAAATATGGATGTGAACATTTTGTGGAAGATTTCAACGAAAAACTAATGGCTTTGTTCCAATCAGAGGAAAATGTTCTAAATTGTATGTGGAAGGTTATAGATTATTTCGTTCGTCCAGCCTCATTTAAAATTGAAAAGGGGCAAGTCGGTACATTCACAATCGATAAATCGGTCATACAAAGATAATAAATGAATTGGTTACACCTACAGCTTAAAGGGTATGGGAGATAAAGCAATACATTGAGAAGTACGTATACGGATGTGGAGAATTCGACAACAGTTTTAACAAAAAAATGAAAGAATGGATACTGCAAAATATGAAAAATTGCTATTGGCATTTATTCAATAGTATTGTTAGGCCTCTTTCTAGCCCTTCTGGTGGTGAAAAATTACAATCTGCATTGATGACAAACACGCTATTGCGTACTTGTTTGCAAAACTATAACAAACTACACACGTCTACGCTGTAAAATCGTACATCGGAAGTTATGGATCAACCAAGTTTATTAAAGCATTCAACGAAGAGCTTAGAGAAAAAGTCGAAACATTCAACGAATTAGATCCAATATGTACATGGAAAAGTTTAGAATATTATTTCCCTTGATTTATATCAATATCAATGCAAACGGCAATGCCAAAAGAGATAATCATAACTTAGACTATTTGACTGTGATGACAGGTATTTGCAGTTTACGTGGTTTTCTCGGGGAGAAAAATAGTAAAGTTTTATAAAATATGATATATTTTAACGTTGTTTTATGATTTTGTAAAGTAAAATTTTTATCATAATATCCTGTTGATATTTGACATTTAGTGAAGTGTAGAACGCCGAAAATCTTAATGAGAAAGGGTAAGGTTGTAGAGTAAATTCATGCCTGAACAAAATAAATCTGGACGATAAGGTCGTGATTTTGTCTTTCTATTCTTCCTTTCGTCCGTCTATGTGTCCAAAAGAATTACTCACCGAATAGTAATTTAAGTTTCCTTTAGTACGAAACGTTTGAACGTGACGACGTAGAGAAAAGGAAGACACCTAATGATTTGGGTCAATGTTTGATAATGACGGATATGTTATTAAAGATAGATTGCTTTGGAGAAAGGCTTGCATTTGAAGCTGAAACCGAGTCTCTGTGTGCAGGAGCATGGACATTCAATTTAAATAGATAAAACCAATTTTCTATTAATTCCCAAACATGTATACGCATTGCTAATCCTATGCTACAGCGAATCCAAATTACTTTGGTATAGAAGTAGGAAAGAATTTCAAATAATATCAGACATACGTGCTTCAAAACTGATGTATGGTCGACCATACAAATGAAACAAAAATGGTGGTCTTTCGTCTCATTTTCACGCAAATTACCTATCAAAATGTCGGGCTCAATAAACAGTTTTCCAAAACAATCAATAAATGCTTATATAATCTCATAGTCGTTCCTTGAATGGACATGAATATGAAACAGAAATTTTAACATCTTTAAGAACAAAACATGGTTCAATCATACCTATTGATACCACTTTCGCAGCAACAATTTCCAATACTCTTATCTTTTGGGTTGAACAAATGAAAGGGTAAGAAATTTTTTCTAAGAGACATTACCTCAAAGTTCACCGGATACCGTAAGTTTTATAAAAAGTATTTATTTTAGATAGTTTGTTGAATTTTACATGTTTGTTTGAATTCAAACCTGTATAGATGCAAGACTGAGAGAATGGGGTGAATCCTGTTGATTTGTTTAGAGACGGATTAAAGGTCAAGGTCATTGCTAAAAAATTACATTACATATAATCAGTTGTATACCTTTGTTTTGGCCTTTAGGTTTGCTTGTTGGATAAATCGAGCAATCAGAAACCTATCGATTTTTTTTTTGGTCAGTTGGTCAAAAACCTCAGTAGTATGAATAGCATTACATAGCATGAAATGCATGAAAGCCTTAGTTTTTCGATTAAAACATGATATTGTGTTTTTTTCTGGGGTTCTGAAGAATGTATTAGTATTTTTATGTTGAAATATACCTGCATAATTGATTATTAACGTATTTTTTTAATTACTATCCCATAATTTATTATAAAATATTTATACATTATTATATTTTACGTTAAAATGCCAGATTGTGATTGGCTAATACGAGGTAGACAATTTACTCTATCCCATGGCTGAGCGGGAGACAATTTTTTTGAATGTCATCCTCTCGTCCAGACCAATTAAAATTCGATAAATTAATTTAAAGGACAATGAATTGAATTAACATCAAGAAGATAAAAACAATGTTTAAGTTCTATGTTTTGGCTCAGACTTTATTATTTGACTGTCAAATAATAGAAAAATAAAACATCTTGCTTCACTTCTGTTGATTTTTCTAATATCCGTAACGTTGTTATGTACGTGGCGTCATAGAACATACTTTTAAATACAATTCATGTGTAAAAGACAATAATGATAGGACATTTAGTATAATAAATTAAATAACACATAGCTGAGAGAGTGATAGAGCAGAATGGTACCCCTCGAAAAAGCATTGACAACCTTGGCTTCGTCTCGGTTGACAATGTTTTCTCGGGGTAACAATCTGCTCTATCACCTTCTCAGCTATGTGTTATTTATATATTGTCAGATATATATAAATAAATAATGATATTGATGTATAGTTTCATAAGCAAACTTTAATGTATGATTAATGGCAGAGCTGATCCTTTTCAACACCGATACACTACTACAACTACCTTAATTTACATTTTGCACACAATATAATTATGATTGTGTTCAGGTAAATGATAGAAAAATGCATGAATCAACACGAAAAGGTGTTTAGAGAACACACTATTTATGTATTGAAACACATTTTTTTACAATAATCTACAGAATGGTTCACCATTGGAATTGTATGGACAAAAAAAGATATCGTCCTTGAGATGCAGTCTTCTCAATCTTTCTTACATGCCTTTAGTCTCTAGATATTTATTCTATTCAATAGTTGAAATACCTTTGCCAGGTTTTCTAAATAACATAACAACTAAACTACTATTTCAAGAAATAGAAATTATAAGTATAACTATAAATTACTACAAAGAATGAAAGTACAATATGTTTAACGGTTTTCTGTGATTTTCGTGCGTGAAGTATTTACCTATTAAGTTTCCGTAAAGATAAGTTCAAATTCGTTTTGCCGGTCCGAAATCCCCTTTTTATAATACTTAGCACGCCTTATCCTTGCGTGTAAGAAAATAGGTCGCTACCGGTCAAGGTTAATCATATCAATCATTGTCAATACATACGTAAATATTGGATTATAAAGAAAGCAATCACGATTTCATACCTCTCGACACCGATTTATTAATTTAAAGCATATAAATAAAAGTAACTACAGAAATGTAGGATTAATAACAAGCTAGAAAACAAAGATGTTATTCGAATGCCACATGTTGGCGGAATTTCGTAACGCTAAATCGGCAACTGTCAATTTTGCCGGGAAGGACGTTACGTTAACACAAAGGTAAAGCCGCGTTATCTAACGTTCACAACACATGTCATAGTTGCAGATGGATTATGTACACACTTCAATCAATATATGTGTACCTATTTAAAAAAAAAATATGGTTATGAGGTACATGTCCATGAAAAGAGTGCAAAGAAGTCAAGGTCACTTCAGGTTATTATTTTTTAAGGTCATAAGTCACCATATGTCAACATTTACAAAAGACCATATGGCTTTATCATGTACCATGTTGGAATAATAATTAATCAACCTTGAATTAAATCGTTACAGGGCAATAACTCCTATGAGATGTCATTGGATTGTTTCAGACCAAATATATCCTACCTTTATCAGTTTGTTTTTTTTTATTTATCTTTTAAAGTGTCAGAGGAGATCATTCAACATTAGACAAAACATCCTGAGGATATAACGAGCAATTTTGTAAAATAAATTTGTTGTTACAGAGGAGATGCACTCACAAAGAAAACAGTGTTCGAGGAGATAACTCCTACAAAGCAAATAATTTGGTCAAGCAGGGTCCATTTCAAAGGCACATAAACTATGCAATATCATATACCAAACATCTAAGCGAAATCTTGCAAAACAAAGATTGCACCCAAGAAATAAAAGTGGCGACAAATAAAGATATTTAAAAAGTAATGTTCAGAGAACAATTGAAGGACTTTCTACATCTAAATAAATGATAAGAAACTACCT